GAAGAAACATTCTATCCCAAATTTGTTGTTCTTTTTATTGGTTCATTCTGAAATATTATCTAGAGAAAACTTTTTTGACTTGTACCACTTTAACCTTTAATTATTCTGTACTTAGTGTCCATAAAAATTAGCAACTGTGTTTTAAAATTAATATGCTAATTTTTATGGATTGAACATTAGTGTCTACAGAAATAGAGGGACAGTATAGCAAAGACAGACTAAAAGTTTTTGGTGGTTGAGAGGCATTAAATTTACCTAAATGGTAAGAAGATACATAAGAATTCTTTGACTGAAACACATTTTTTTCCCCAAGATACTAAATTATATGAGTGTTGTATCCAATTGGTCTATATATACACTTGTTACATTGAACAGTATAAAGAATTACCTACTCAAAATTGTTTATTCATTCACCCCTTTATTCATCTCATTCATTCATTCAATTAATTAACTAGATCTCTCCTAGATTGTGGGGTTCTTGGCAGCATAGATGAATAAAACACTTTTTTTTTCCTGAAGAGAACTCATTCTCCAGTGGCAGATATGAAAGTGTTAAGATAGAAAAGGAAGTATCTATGCATGACTTAATTTTCACTGGGCACAATGCTAATAATAAGGTAACTTTTAAAAATCTAAAACAAAACAAGAAGTTTGGCCCAAAATCTTGAAAATAAATACCAATTGGTAATTTCTGCAGGAAGTTAATGCTATTAAATGAAATAAAACCAAACAAAACAGAATATGTGTTTAATTTTTAGTTGGCTTAGTTAATGAAAAATATATCATTTAAGATACCTTAACAGTTTTCTTTTTAAACATCATTAGTCTTTGCTGAATAGTATTAGTTTTTAATGTAGAATGGAAAGTTGGCCCATAATCTTTAAGTTGCCACTCCTAGGGATAGAGAGTAAGACTGATAAATCATAGCTGTCAGTTAATACAGTGGATGTGGTTTCTCTTCTCCCTCTACTTTTTCAAGATAGTTAGATGTATATAGATAGTGGAGATAACTTCTGAGATTGTGATTGATGGACTGCCAATTAGTGAGAATTTGTGTACTGGGAAAAATTAGGTCAAGTAGAGTGACAGCATCTAATCTCTGAAGCAGATAGTACTAGGCTCTGAAAACTTGATTCATGTAATGGATGTTTTACTAAATTACCTGAACAAATTATCGATAAAAATCATTGATTGGTACATGTTAGTTTATTTTGATTTTTAAACTTAATTTAATATGAATATTTATCATGAGTAAGGATATTGTAAAAATAAACTTATGTATGATATTTTTCCAATTAAAGTAATATATTTTCTTGTCATTTGAGTAAGTGATTTATTACATATATCCCCACCATCACCATGTGAAATAAATCCACTTTGCATATCCTACTTCAAAGTTGAAGATTTGTTCAATTGAAGCTAGTCAGCTTATACAGCAGGGATAGTGTTCCAAGGACAATTATTTTAAAGTAATATCTTGGAAACTCATCACTTTTGTAGCTCTAATCCAGATATTAGTAGTAGTTTTTCACCTCTTTTAAGATCTAGATGTAATTAACCTAGATCTTATTGAATGGCTTATAAAACTAAGAAAAAAAAATCTCCAGGATTTTTCCTAAATATCTGAGTGTATTACCATTACTTGGTCTCCTTGCTTGGACTGACTCTCTAGGGAATTTGTCTTCCCTTCTCTTCATCTTCTTTATCTTTCACTAGACATGAACACTTAATATACGGTACAGTCTCATGTCTTCGAATCCATCTCCCAACCAAGTCTCATTATATAGTAGAATTTTTCCTAAATAATTGGGGCCACAGGACGGGATCACTTCGCATATCACACAAACTTTACAAAATGTCAAAACATGGACTTCTCCTACCTCCAAGGAAAACTTACCATTTGGAATTCTACATGAAGCACACTAGCCTTTCAACATATAAATGGCTCCCTTTTTTTCCAGGCCTATTGAAGTATAATTTACATGTAATAAAATCCATCCATTTAAAATGTACAGTTCAATGAATTTTTACAAATGTGCAATTGTATAATTATCACCAAAATCGAGATATAGAACATTTCCATCGCTCCTCAAGGAACTCTGTTCTTTTGCAGTTAGTTCTCTCTTTACCCACAGCCTCAAGCAACCATTCATTTTGTCATAATAGTTTTGCCTTTTTTAAATAAAAAAGAATTTCATGTAAATGTAATCATACAGTGTGTAATCTTTGAGTTTGGTTTCTTTCACTTAGCATGATATTTTTTGAAATTTATACATGCATCCCTCCTTTTAATTGCTGGTTAGAATTCCACTGAATGAATATGGCACAGTATATCCATTTATCTGATAATGGGCTTTTGGAATTATTTACTTTTTGGCTATTATGAATAATACTGTTATAAAAATTGATATACATTGTTTGTGTGATCAAGTGTTTTCATTTAACTTAGGTAAATGCCTAGCAGTGGGATTGATGAATCATAAACTAAGTATATGTTTACCTTTATTAGAAACTGTCAAAATGTTTTCAAAGTAGCTATACCATTTTCACTCTAAAGGATAGTGTATGAGAGATCCAATTGCCCACATTTTCTACAACACTTGGTATTGTCAATCTTTATGCTTTCAGTCTTTCAAGTGGGTTTATTAGTTATATCTCATTGTGGTTTTAATTTGCATTTCCTTGAGAACTATGATGTTGACTATCTTTTTGTGTGCTTATATTGTGAAGTTTCTGTTCAAGTATTTTACCCATTTTTATTGGGTCATTCACCTTATTATTGAGTTTTAAGTGTTATTTATATATCCTTGACTTAAGTCCTTTGTTAGGTAAATGTTTTATAAATACTTTCTTCTATCTTGTAGTATACTTTTTATTTTCTAATAGTATTTTTAAAAGAACACTTTTGTAACTTTAATGAAATATAATGTATTGTTTCTTTCAGAAAAGTGTGATTGGCATTTTGATTGTGATTGCATTGAATTTATAGACCAATATGGAGTCTTCTGAGTCAGGAATACGGTATATATCTCCATATATGTATTTCCATTTATTTACATCTTTTTAATTTCTCTCAGAGCACTGATCTTGTATATATTTTGCTAAATTCATCCCTAAGTATTTAAC